CCCCCTAAAGCACATGAGGCGATTTTCTCTCCCAGAAAGTTTGTGGGAGAAACATGTAGACAGGTTAGGAAAGGCTGCCCCCTAGTGGGCAGAGGGCGAAGGGTTCCCTTGCAGAGTGTCAAGTGCGAGCGGCCCTGGGCCTGGGCAGGTGCCAGCTCCCTTGGTGCTGTTTGTGGCTTAAACGGAAACACGAGACGTCCACTGCCGCTTCTTCAGGGGTTCAGACCTGGAGAGGGGCACCAGGGGCATCTAGGTCAGGTGGTGTCTAGGGCTGGGGAGGACATGGAAGAAGGAGGCGAGCTGAAGGCCCTGTGCTTGGAAGCTGCAGCTCAGGGATGCTTGGTGTCAGCCAGGACAGGGGGCCTGGCCCAGGGAAAACTGAGACACTGGTAATATTTGTTTGGGCGTTGTTGTTGGTAATAACTAAGCTCTGTACACGATGTTGCTTATAATGAGGACACCACCTTCAAACTTCTGGGTGGCACATTTTGACAAGGAAGAAACAGACATGGAGAGGTTTAGAGAGCTAGCCAAGGTCACTAGGAATGTTGAAATGGTCTGGAAAAGCATTTGGCCTAGCTCAGCTACCTCCCTCCAGGGATTTGGTCAAATTCCTAACTCTGTGGGGCCTCCTTTTGTTAGAGTATGCAGCTAGTTAGGTGTTAACAAGGAAAGAGGGAGTGAACAGGAGCTAACATCTGACTAAGCAGGTAAATAGCCTTGACATCACCCAGGAGCAATTGCCATAGGTCCACCAGCTCAACAGGCTGGGGAAAACCTCAGGAACCCTGAGATGGAGGCCAGGGTGGGGTGGGGTGGGGTGGGGGACAATAGAATGAGACAGAGGGAAATTCCTATTAGCGCATGCACAGACCTCACACAAGTCACCTGTCACCTCCAAGTGACCTCTCCTCAATTATGTCCTGATTATAATAAATCAGCAATGCGGTTTTGACCCCCCTGTGGGCAAACCTAGAGAATGTGGGTAAAAGCCCAAAGGGTAGGACATTACCCTAAGAAGATCAGAGGATGGGGTTGGATAGTTTAAAAATAAGCCTGCTCTTTTCAGGGATTGGATAGTTCAAAATGAATGCACCCTTTTCCCAGCCCAAGAGAATATAAGAAAGCTCACACAAAGCTCTCAGGCAGTTGCTCGGCAGCCTGCCCATTTCCTTTCTCTAAGAGTGCACTGTCCCTTTAATAAATCTTCCCGCTGCTGCTTGAACCCCTCCTGTGTGTGTGTCCTTGACTTCTTTCCTGCCACACCTCAAAGAACCTTCTCCGTGGGGTGACTGTTTTATTAATGAATCAAACAGAGATCTTACTCTCTACAGCACAGGGCTATTATCAGGGTTAAAGACACCAAGTAAGCAGAGGTGCTTTTAAAAGACAGGATTGTAAAAGTCAACACTGGGGACTCCCATGTAATAAATGATCTCAGTTGAGTTACTTATTTCAGAATACTCTAACCAAGCGGTCACCAATGTCCAGCAAACTATGGGGACAATTTGGGGGCTCGGGTGGGGCTATTAGGTACTTCCAGAACAATATCATTTGGAATATCTGCTCCTCTCCTGGAGAGTCATAGGATCAGGGGAGAAATGGGTGTGCATGTTTCCTGCATTGAAATAGAACCTGTTCCTTAAACCCAAAGAACCCTTCAAGCCACAGAACCTCTGTGGCCATCCCTTCCCCTGCAACTGATCATCTCTGGAACTTCTCTTAAACAGATACCCCTCCTGAATTGCCAGTTGCTCAAGAGTTACAGGGAACAGCGCCTGGCCCACCTGGTGTTGAGCTTAATTACCATGGGATATGTCTGGCAGGAAGGAGAGACACAGCCTGCAGAGGTAAGAAATAGATGCCTGTCTTGTCATGGATCTGAGTTGCTTTCCTGGATTTGGGCACAGGTAAGGCTCTTCAGAGTGTTCCTTGGATAACTCAGGGGTTGAATGGGGACCGTCTTGAGGTGACTTACTAGAAGTTGTTATTGGGTTTGACTTACGAAGTTACTGATGGAATCAATGGCCACACAGGATGAGGTGTTTTATTTAACCCATTCCTCTTCCTCACTGACACATAAACAACCATATAAACACATATGTATGTAAACATAAATATTCATATGCATATATATGCTTTTAGTTTTATACACACAAACATGCACAATATATCTACATATCTAAGTAGATGATAGATAGATGATGATAGATAGATGATAGATAGATGATAGATAGATAGATGATAGATAGATAGATTTTTTCCTACTACTCATCACTTCAGCCCCCAATTTATGCTTAACCATTTGGTAATGCCTATCTATGCATAGTTAATATTCAGTACTATTTTATACTATATGTATATGTGTGCGTTCCAATCTTATGATTTTCTTTTTCTTTTTAAAAATGTGTTTTTGGCCCGGCCAGGCGTGGCTCAGTGGTTAAGCGTCGACCTAGGATCCAGGCGATCAGGGTTCGATTCCCGGTCAGGGCACATGCCCGGGTTGCGGGCTCCATCAATGACTCTCTCATCATGATGTTTCTATCTCTCTCTCTCCCTCTCCTCTCTCTGAAATCAATAAGGATATTTTTTTTTTTTTAAAAAGTGTTTTTGTTGATTTTTTAGAGAGAGAGGAAGGGAGAGAGACAGAGAGATAGAAACATCAATGAGAGTGAAACATCATCAATTGGCTGCCTCCTGCAAGCCCCCTACTGGGGATCGAGCCCACAACCCAAGCATGTGCCCTGACCAGGAATTGAACCAGTGACCTCTTGGTTTTGAACAGTGCTGGTTGACGCTCAACCACTGAACCACGCCGGCCCGGCCCAATCTTATAATTTTCCACATACAGTTCAGATTGTACTCATAAACAATATATTCACTTGATTGTTAACAGAAAAAAGTATGAGAGTGAGGTGTATGTGTATAGGTCACTCAGATAATCCCACTTTATCCCCAAATTGTTTTTCTACCACAGGATTGATGGAATAAAGGACAGCCATGATTACTTACTCTCTTGCACTCTTCCTAGAATATGCTAATGGTCAGGATTTGTATTTGAAAGGTTCTGCCAAGAAATCTTGCCCTTCCCTTTGTGGAAGTCTCCAGGAACTTGGGGCTCCCTCCTATTCTGGTCCACTCAGACTTGGTGCTGACGAACTGGACTACAAGGAATCCTGAAAGGTAAGAAAAGGAGAGTGCGCTTTGGATCTGAACAGATGGAAACTGAGTAAGGGGTAGTCTTATGACTTGTACTCTCCCTGCCAGGGTTTAGTAGGTATTCTTCTTGGCAATTACTTCTTGGAATCTCTTAATATGCCTAGCACAGCACTAAGTGCAGTGAAGAAATGAAAGCAAAGTACACCTAAAGTGGTTAAATAACAAAACAAAGCAGTACATGACAAATGTCAGAAGGATGCAAACAATAAAACCTTCATAATTTTAAAGAAATTACATCAATGCAGGCTTTAAAAATCTGCAAAAAGCTTGGTGACAGGGTGGAACTTGATCTAAAGTAGGTGTTAAAAGTTGAGTTGGAGTAGCATACCTACAACAAAAATATGGGTTTGTGGTAATTGCAAAAATATAAAAGGAGCAATGCTGCAGGGTTAATGTTCTGGGGCTGATATGCAAGTTGAGATTTGGTTCACTCTTTGTAACACAGTGGATGTAGTCTGTCACAGCCTGTGTGTGCATGGATGTGTGAGTGTGTATACATTTGCACAAGAGTGTGTGTGTCTGTATGCATGTGGCCCTAGAGGGCATATGTGTTTACAAACTGATTTCTTCTTTTATTTTCTTTTTTGTTTGTGGTTGTCAATAACTGAAATTTGACTAGACCCCTGGACATGAGGTAAGTTCTCAGAAATCCTTCACCTACTTGAGAATCCAGGCTTACTTAAAAAGATTACAAATGAACAAGAAAGGAACATACCAAAGTGTATATATATAGTATATAAGCTATATACAAATGCATGCAAAAATAAGGCTAGAAGGAAAGGTGCCAAAAATTAAGTTTGGAATTTAACAGTGGTTGCCTCTGGTCTGTAGGGAATAGGGGATTAATTTTCTTTACTGTATTTTCCAGTCTGTACATAATAAAACAAGCAAAGTGCAATGTAAGAAAAAAACTTCACCAATTCTTTAATAATCTAGAAAAGACCTCTTATCTCACCATAACTTCTAAGAAAGACCAAGTTATAGGCAGTGGCTGGACAACTACAGAAGAATTCCTTTGAAATATTATATAACCTATATTGGAGCTCTTGAGGCAGGTTTGGCTCAGGCATCCTTAGGCTCTTCTCTCTTTGAAGAGCAAAATTGGCCTCTAAATTGACATTGCCTCTCCCATCACCAAACCTCAGCTCAATAAAGGGGTCCATTATAAAAGCTGTAGCTCAGGAAATTGAGAGATGGAAGGGTAAAGACACTTTTCCCCACAGTAATGTAATTGCTGGAACAGTGGTGTTCTTGACTTAGTTTTCTTTTGTGTTTGTTTTTCCTTTCTTCTCATGCTGAAAATGTTAGAAGCAAGAGTGACTTATGGAGTAAAGTTTTTAAATTTTGTAGACTGGCTGTATATCTGGGATATTTGAATCCATGTGATCACAGGTCATTTAAAAGTGATTCCTCTATACAGTCTTCTAGCTCTCACTCTGTTATATAAAACAAAACAGAAACTATTCATTAGAAAGAGCACTAGCCTGAGTTATGAAACTATTCACCCCCTGGTCCTGTGACTAGCCCGCTATATGACCTTGGGCAAGCTATTTTGCTTCTTTGGGCCATATCTAAAAAAAAAAAGGAGCATGGAATTAGCTGTTGCCTCTAAGACTCTGTGCTCCTGACAGGAATGGTGTGATGGGCTATAAATTGGTGCTGTGAAGAATCAGAAATACCTACCCACTCATGCTTTGGCTATTCCATTGGGGAGATGGTCTGGGACCATCAGGGCCATGGTGGACTTTGAGAGTCCTCCAATCAGGTGAATTTGGGCTTGAATAGATCTGTTCTTTTTCTTTCCTGTATGTTGCTGAAGGTAGATGCTCATCCTTTGGGCTTTCCTATAGAGAGGGGAAGTGGTCATTGATTCTACCCTGTACTTATAGTTGTCTAGCTTGGAGGGGACCTGGGGGCCATGCATACTCATGGTGTCCAAGCCTCTCTAACTATTTGGTCATCTCCTTCCCAAGGAACTTGGACACCATTTTCTCATTTCCTGGGGGAGAAAGCCTGCGTGGTTTTATACTGGTGACTGTTTTGGTGGAGAAATCAGCAGTACCTGGGATTAAGGTATATTTCCACCCACAGCACTTTTTTTTTCCCCCCTAAATGAGAAATCAGTATGAGCTTTACTTCCTTCCCATCCAGTCTCTTTTCCTTTGATGCATTAATCAAATTAGATGAGCATAGGCATTGTCCTCTTGGCTTATGTCTCAAGAAGGATGTCATGCTCTAGCCCACAGAGCTAGCCCACAAAACTCGGAATTGACCATTAGTCCGCTCAATAAACAAGCATTCTTCTAGACAGTGAAATATCGGAGACAACAAGACAGACAGTGCTCTGGCCCCCACAGGAGCGCCTGCTCTAGCGGAGAAGGGTGAGCTGACATGCAGGCAATGAGAGGAAAACGCAGTTTCAGGAAAAGGCGCCTGAAACCTCATTCAGACCTGAAAGCTTAGGCAAAGCTTCCCAGGGGAAATGACAGGTACAGTGAAAACCTGAGTGACACACAGGAGTTAAGCAGAGAGAGAGAGAAGGAGGGTGACAGACAGAAAGACAGACAGATACGCAGATATATTCCTGGCAGAGAGAACTGCTGTGCAAAGGCTCAGAGGAAAAGGCTACCATCACTGAGATTACCTAGCCCTGCGGGTTTGCAGACTCCAATGACTGATAGAAAGGTTGGGTTTAGTAAGACAAAAGACAGTGAAGCAGCAAGTGATCAGTTGGAGAATCCATGCCTTGCCTAAAAATAATTAGTTAAGTTTATGTCTTTCTTCCTTTTTTAAATTATCTTTATTGTTGAAAGTATTACAGATGTCCCCTTTTTTCCTCCATTGACACCTTCCATTCTGCCCCTGTCCCCCCACCCCCAGGCCTTCACCACACTATTGTCTGTGTCCATGTGTTATGCATATATACATATATATTATTTGGTTAATTTCTCCCCACGCACCCACCCCCGCCTTCCCTCTGAGATTCCTCAGTCTGTTCCATGCTTCTGTCTCTGGATTTATTTTGTTCATCAGCTTATTTTGTTGATTAGATTCCACATGTGAGTGAGATCATGTGATACTTGTCTTTCTCTGACTGGGCTTATTCTCTTAGCATAATACTCTCCAGGTCCCTCCAGGCTGTCTCAAAGGGTAAGACAGCCTCCTTTTTAACAGCCGCATAGTATTCCATGGTGTAAATGTCCCGTGGCTTTTTTATCCACTCATCTACTGATGGGCACTTGGGCTGTTTCCAGATCTCAGCTATTGCAAGTAGCACTGCTATGAACATAGGGGTGAATAAGTTCTTTCTGATTGGTGTTAAGAGTTTCTTAGGATATATTCCTAGAAGTAGAATCACTGGATCAAATGGCAGTTATATTTTTAATTTTTTGAGGAAATGCCATACTGTTTTTGATAGTGACTGCACCAGTCTGTATTCCCACCAGCAGTGTACTAGGAGACTTCTCTACATCCGGGCCAGCATTTGTCATGTTTGTTGATTTGTGATAGCAGCCATTCTGACAGGTGTGAAGTGATACCTCATTGTCATTTTAATTTGCCTCTCTCTGATGATCAGTGACTTTGAGCATTTTTTCATATGTCTCTTAGCCATCTGTATGTCTACTTTGCGTATGCCTTTCCTCACCACCTTCCCTGGTTAGCATACTTTGAGTCCTTAATGTGTCCTCAGTGGGGTCACCAGTCATGGGGTAAGTATTATAGCACCCTCTTTCACTCTCAAAAGTGAAATTGTGTGGTCACTTTATTTCTTATCAGTGTGTTTAGTCCATTGAAAGATACAAAATGAAATATTGGTCTTTCAGTTATAGCTCAGATAAGATAAAGACTGTTAGGAAGGCTTCATGGTGGAGGGGGCGCTGGAGCTAGGGGCTCTATGGGCTCTACAGAATGTGTCTGATTTTATGAAAGACAGAGCTCATGGCTGAGGGTCCCCTAATTCAAGATGCAGATGTAGAAATTATTATGTGTGATAAATACAGAAGAAGGAAGGAGAAAAATGATAGAGTGATGCCCCTGAGAGTTAAAACAAGTAGCAATCAGTGGAAAGATCTAGAAAAATATGTCCAAAGGTCTATCTGGGAGATGCCCAGAGAGATTCCTTTTTCAGGCAGACTTGGCAGCAAAGTTTAGGGGAGCCCTGGAAAACAGTCCAGTATTCAGAGGGGTGCCCTTCCCAATTCCCCCAGCTCTGAAGCTCAACTCACTCCTCCTCAGTGGACTGTAAGTGAATGCTAATGAACTGAGTGAATGAATCTTCTCCGCAGGCACTTGTTCAAGCAGTGAATGCCATCCTGCAGACCAGCCAGAACTCCCTGCTGCAAGCCCTGCAGAGACTGAGACTGTCCATTCAGGACATCACCAGGACCTTAGGACAAATGCATGGTATGGGGCTCCTGGAGACCGAGCGCTCTGCTTGGGGACAAAGGGCCTGAAGGCTGAGCGACATCCACGAGATGGCGCTGGTGTCCCAGCTTTGTTTTTTGGTAACATTGCTGCTTTAACTATTGGAGAATGATCTCTCAATTTGCAAAGATATTCTGTGGTTTTGGCTTTTTTTTAGTATTCTCTTGCGGTTAGGGTAGTTTCCTCTCTTCAGTGGAAATATGTTTCTTTGCGTGTTGAGGTCTCGCATGAAGCTTGGGAGGAGGGGAGAAGGCAAACGACAACGACACAGGTTGTATACACTCCACCCAGCAGTATTAGGCTATTGCAGAGTTTTGTCTTTACACTCTCCGATGCCCCTTTTATTGTTGTTTCCTAGAGTGGAGCCTGAGGTGATTGACCTTGGCCTTAGGCTCCTTCTCTGTGGCTAGAGCAGGAATGAGTTTTACTAGGCGTAGCCAATTCCGGGGCTCACCCTTCCTTTGATTGGTGACATTATATTCAGGTGACTGCTTTCCATCTCCCATGTCGGGACAGCTCTTCACCTTCCTCTATCAGGAGAACCTTACAAATGAACAGTGTGTGTTAGTGTTTTGTTTTTTATTTAAGTAAATTTGGTATATAGCATTATATATGTCTCCGGTGGACAGCATCATAATTTCACATCTGTATACACTGCAAAGGGATCTGCACCAAAAGTCTGGTTACCAGCCACCTCCATGCAACTGGTTCCCTTCACCCAGTTCCCACATGTCCCAGCCCCTGTTAACCACCAATCTGTTCTCCGTGTCTGTGAATTTGGTTTTTGTTCGTACATGGGTTTTGTTTTGTTTAGATTCCAATATGAGTGAAATCATGTGACATTTGTCTTTCTTCATCTGACTTATTCACTTATAATACCCTCAGGTTCCATCCATGTTGTGGCAAATGGCAAGATTTCATTTTAATGCTGAGTAGCAATATATATATATGATATGTGCATATATATACTTATACATATATCTCACAACTTCTTTATTCATTCATGAGTGAACACTTAGGTTGTTTCCGTATCTTGGCTATTATTAATAATGCTGCAATGAACAAAGCAGTGCATAGATCTTTTCAAATTAGTAATTTTATAATCTTCATATTAATACCCAGAAGTGGAATAGCTGGATCATATGGCAGCTCTCTTCTTAGTTTTTTGAGGAACCTCCATACTCTTTTCCACAGTGGCTGCACCAGCTTACATTCCCACCAGCAGTGCACCGGGGCTCCCTTTCCTACACATCCTTAAACACTCGTTATTTCTTATCTTTTTTATAATGGCTATGCTAGCAGTTGTGAGGTGATATCTCATCATGGTTTTCATTTGCATTCCTTTAATAATTAGTGATGTTGAACATATTCCCATGTGCCTGATGGTCATATGTGTATCTTCTTTGTAAAAATGTTTATTCAGATCTTCTGCCTTTTAAAAAAACGGGATATTTGTTTTGTTGCTGTTGAGTTGTATGAATTCTTTATATATTTTGCATACTAAGTCCTTCAAAGATACATGATTTGCAGGTATCTTCTTCCTTTCAGTAGGTTGCCGTTTGTTTTGATGCTGGTTTCCTTTATTGTGCAGAAGCTCTTTCGCTTGTTGTAGTCCCATTTGTTAATTGTTGCTTTTGTTTCCCTTGCCTTTGAATTCAGATGCACTAAATGTTGCTAAGACTTACGGCAGGGACCTCCTGCCTACGTTTTCTTCTATGAATGCAATGGATTCAGGTCTTGCGTTCAAGTCTTTAACCCATTTTGAGTTAATTTTTGAGTATGGTGTAAGATAATGGCCTATTTTCATTCTTTTCCGTGTGGCTATCCAGTTTTTCCAACACCACTTATTGAAGAGCCTGTCTTTTCTCCACTGTATGTTCTTGATTCCTTTGCCATATAATAATTATCCACATATGTGTGGATGCGTAGGTTTATTTCTGGGCTCTCTGTTCTGTTCTGTTGATCTATGTGCCTGTTTTAACGCCAACACCCTACCGTTCTGATTACAGTAGATTTGTAGTATAGTTTGAAATCAGGGGGCGTGATGCCTCCCACTTTGTTCTTCTTTCTCTACAGATGCTCACTTTTGCTGTTCTCCGCTGTACACACAAGGAGGTGGCCACAGTGTGGGTGTGCGTTGTGGGGTAAGCCACCCTGAGCACTAGGGATGCCATGGCCAGCTGGGGAGATTTGCAGGTGAGGCAAACCCAGCAGCTCATGGGAGGCTGTCCTGACGGAGTCTATGGGATGGTCCGTTAGGATCTGCCTCCCTTTAATGCCCTCCGAGGCCCAATCTGGCATTCTCACAGCCGCTCCCCAACACACACGCTTCTTAGTCCTGAAGCTCACTTTGGCCTTCTGGCTGGGGTGAGAAAGAAGTGGGGCTCTGGAAGCATTCCATGGAGCTGGGAAAGCCGGGGACTCACATGTTCTCCCTTTTCCTCGGACAAATCACAGGCCACTCAGGTCTCTTGTGGGCCTGGGCTGTATCTCCTTGTGGGATGCGTGATGTAGGTAAAGTGAAATGTTCTTCTCGCCCTCTTCAGTGCACTCAGTCTGGGTTTTTTTTTTAAACTCTAATGGCATGCTGGGGCTTCTCTGCTGGACTTCTACGAAAGCTCTCTTGTTCACAGGTGACTGTCTAAATCAGCATTCTTGGGGGGGGCGGAGTAGAAACTCTTATTTCACCATGATAATAATGTCACTTCTGCAGTTCCCTGATTTTCAGTACATTAATTATCTTCTCTCTCCCTTTCTGCATGTGTGTATGTGTGTGTATGTGTGTGTGTCCATACTCACCACTCAATATCCCCTTTTTGTGATATGTGTGTCTTTCCTTATTTATCTAATGATCTTTTTATCTTTTACCTGTGGATTTATAAGAGTTTTTGTACACTCTTGAGCATAATTTTTGTTAGTTATGTGTGTTGCAAATGTTGTGGATGGTCTTATTTTGCCTTTTGAAAGCAGAGATTCTTAATCTAAATATAGTCAAAGTATCTGTCATTTCTTTCATAAAAGTCCATGTTTTATAGGTCTTGCATAAAATATTTAAAATTATAGGTCATAAATATATTTTCCTGCATTTTCTTCTGAAATTATTGTTTTGTCTTTGACATTCCAGCCCTTAATTCATATATAATTATTATTTATATGTAGTATAACATAGGAAATAAATTCAATTTTCATTCTATGAACAATCACTTATTTGCAGTATTAGCTAATTCTTATGTCAGGTTTTCTTAAATGACTGGATCTGTTTTCAGGCTCTCTGTTCTACTTCGTTGTCTGTTTATCTTTCTCTACACCAATATCTTTCTCTCAACCAATATCATTTGAACTATAGCTTCATAAGATTTCTCACTTTCAGGTAGAGAAAACCCTTTCACCTTGCTCTTCTTGACTTATCTTTGAGCCTTTGCCTTTCTTATAAACTGTTAGAATCAGCTTGTGCAACTGCATTAAAAAATTTTTGTTAGGAATTTTGCTCAAATTGCATTAAGTCTGCATATTAGTGTGGGAAAAAAATGCATGATTTTGAAATTATATTCAGTCTTTCTGTCTTCTGATCAAGGCAGGTGGAGAGGTAGATAGAGCATGAAAGCATTAACTAAGGTCCCTAAACAAGCTTTCCCAAATCATGTCTTCATATTAGTGCATATTCTTCTTATGTCATATGGCCTGAAGTTTATTCACATAGAAAAGACTTCCTTAGATACATTTCTTCTCTTTGACATTAATACTGAATTTTCTTGACTCTCTTGAAATGGATAAACTTTTCTTTCAATTTAAAAATATTCTTTCATTTCTTTCAAGATAAAAGACTTAAATATCTTATGCTTTCTTCATTGTTACTTTGTATTTTTGTTTTTTAGTGAATACAGTATCTCTGATTTCACTAACTCCTGAGTATAGTGTTGCTGTTTTATAGAATAAAACTGGTATTTGAATACTAACCTTGAATCTAGTACCTTTATAAACATTCTTATTCATTCTAATAAATATGTGGTGATTATTTGGGTTTTCTATATAGAAGTCATATCACTTGAGAACAGTGTTCTTTTTTTCTTCATTTACAATACTTGTAGCCTTTTCTGTTTAATTTTTGTTCTTCATTCTTATTTCTAAGACTCTCAACACAGTATCGAATGGAAGTGCTGATCCTTGTTTTGTTTCACATTTTCAAGGACTCTTTAATATTTTAACATTAAGTATAATGTGTACTGTAGACTTCTTATAGGTTCCTTTCATTAGTTCAAGGATGAGCACTCCTATTTCTAATTAGCTAAAATTTTTATTTGTGTATTTTTTTTTATCATGAATGGAATTTTTTTACACATATTGAAATATTTTTACATCCAAATTATTTTACATTTATTGAAATGATCCTTTTATTTTTTCCTCATTAAATTTGGTAAGTTGGGTAAAATATTAAATTATTACCAGCCATTACTGCTTTAGAATAATTTGTACATAATATTTAGCATTTTTGTGGGAAAAGAGCAGCAAATGGGTAAGACCCAGAAATAGCACCCAGAAAAAAAAAAAAGTCCAGAGGAGCATTGTCAGAGAAGAGCAGAGAGAGTGGGGCACCATTCAGGGGCCCTGGGAAACCCTGAAGCTGAAGGGAGACGCTAGTTCCCTGAGTCATGGGCTTCAGAGAAAGTAAGAGATCGGGGGCCACAGAGTGGGTATGACGGTAGAAAAGGAAAATTGATGGTATGGAGATGTCATTATTTAGGTATCAGAAAAAAAGATGTGTGTGTTTTTTCCTCTCAGAGACCAAGAGAGATAGACAGGAATATGGGCAAGGGAAAATGCTTAGTCACAGAGGGACCCCGTTGTACGAAGAAGAAAAACCCTTCCAAATGTTGATAAAAAGAAATTTAGTACAAATGGGAAAACCTGCTTCCTTATGTACACTTTTACTAACTAGTGAAATCAATTATCCACAAGCATTGGCTTAGGCTCAGAATCGCTGCACAGCTTCCTGAAGGCAGCTGCGCATGGGGCCAAATGAGCCTGTGTCGGAGCTGGTGTGGCGCCCCCGGCAAGGGGCTCTCCACTCCTGGCCTCTGCTGACTGTGTAGAACCGGCCTGAGCATAGGTGGCTTTAGTTTTCCTCTCCTGGGAAAGCCTTGAAAGAGGTGATTCTCTCTGCCTTCTCCTTTCCGCTTCCTATAGTCTCTCAAACATCATGTCTGTTAAATGTATTAATTTTTTAAAGATGGCCTTGATCTCTCTTTTTGTGGTTGTTAAGTACAGAAAGGGGAAGTGCCGCAAATAGAAAAGGGCAGCATTTGGAATAGTTTAAAAGTTCCGTAAGCACCAGCGAGGAAACTACAGAAGAGAACATTCCATCCACCTCTTGCTTGTGGCTTTCATTCCAGGTTTCCATGCAGATCAGATAGAGAGGCAGCCCCTGGAGTGCAGCAGGGCCCATGCACATGTAACCAATTGCTTTATTTTGCCTGTAGTAAAGTTCACATTTTGATTGTCCCTCCAGATTATGTAGACCCAGACATATTTTATGCAGTCATCCGGATCTTTCTCTCTGGGTAAGTACAGTTCAACTGTTTTCCTGCATGAGGTCTCTGCAGCATTTTCCAAATTTATGGGGCTAGAAATTGACACAAGCTTCTTAGAGTAAGAAATACACTAAGATAGTCTTGTTAGCAAGGTAATCACTTAGATCCACTCTTGGATTAAAAAAGAGGGGTACCATCTGCATGGCAAATGACATTAAAGGTGAATATCTAAGTTTAGAGTAATTTTCCTTAGGCTCTCATATTACATGCATTTGTATTTACCTTGATGACAAAGGAAAAAAAAAAAAGCCCAGTATACCACCCACAAAGCTCAATCATTTATACTTATTCTTTCCCTTTGTTATTGAAACAGGTGGAGGTATAGATAGGATCTAGAAAGCATTCCTAGGATAGCTACTCTAAGCCATTTTCTCATATTCCTGTGTACTCTCTTTTTGTCACATGACCTATAATTTCTCTGAAAAACAGAACTCCGCTCTTAGACACACTTCTTATTTTAAATATACTAGTCATACGTTGACATATTTTAATGAGATTGCTTTACTATTCACTAAGAAATTGAATTTGTTGTTTGTTTGTTTTTATGGTGAAAAGTGAAAGGCGGAGGTGGTGGATGGATGGGGTAAAAAAGGTGCATCGATACCGTCTAGTGTGCCATATATCAACTAGCAGGTGCCTGGAGTGCTATTGATAAGAAGAACCTGAAGCTGTGCCTAGATGTAACACGAAACATGCCAAATCCCAAATCAATAAATTTATTGATTTAGCAATATGGTCCATTGGTGCAAGAATAGAGTGACAACATGTACTAAGTATTTTCTATAGATTAGGTAGGCCTGGAGTGTGAGAAAGTGACTTCCCTCTCTAAGGGAGGCCAACCTGGGTGGGGATTCCTCATTGTAGGGTGCAGAGAGTAAAAGCAGGAAGATTTCTACAGAATAACTTGAGAATAATAAGTATATGTTTATGGCAAAAAGACGGTAAAAGGGGAGTGATATATATGGAATTGGGATTGTGCCTCAGAATTTAGACTTTCACTCCTGAAATGCTCCCCAAAGAGATTATCGTAGAGAACTCATCTTGCTCTCTGTATGTTTTTCATACAGTCAGGATCAAGAGAAGATCTGATTGTACAAAAAGACTCTAGCAACAAATAGTAAGCAAAACATGTAGATATACTTTGGTAGGATTAGACAAAAGTAAAAATGTCATTTAAAAAAATGTTTTAAAATAGACTGAGATTTAGGAAGCACCTAATTCTGAAAAATCTCTTTGTGCTTTACTTTGTTCACTAAGTCTAAGTTAGTTTTCTTTGTTACATAACAAATTACCACAAATTTAGCAGTTTAAAACTACATACATTAATTATCTCACATTTTCTGTAGGTCAGAAGTCAGAGTGAGCTCAGCCTAATTCTCTGCTTAGGGTCTCAAAAGGCCAAGTCAGGCCATCTGCTGGGCTGAGATCTTATCTTCAGAATCTGGGGAAGAATGCACTCACTCAAGTTTTTGGTAGAATCTAATTCTCTGTGGTTTTGAAACTCAGGTCTCTGTTCCCTTGCTGTCAGACAGAATCTGCTCTCAGCTTCCAGAGGCCTTCTGCATTCTTTGTCACATGGCCTCCTCCGGTCCAGCAATGACACTTCCTATCCTTCTAGTATTTCAGATCTCTCTGACTTTTCCTTCTGCCACTAGCCAGAGAAAAGTCTCTGTTTTTAAGATCTTATTGATTAGATTCAGCTCACCTAGATAATCTAGAATGACTCTCTGTGTTAAGATCAACTGATCAGTAACCTTAATTGCATGTGCAAACTCCCTTTGTCTTGTTATGTAATATATCATATCAATAAGCATAATATTCACAGTTCTAGGAATTAGAATGGGAACCTTGGGGCAACATTTTTGGAATTCTACCTATCATGTTTAGATGGGCACCAGAAGGTGACTTTGTTTTCACTAAAATAAGTTCAGGGTCAGTGATGCATTTATCTGTGATATACATAAATGTCTCCCCTCTGCTTCTGATCTTCAAAATATATCTCATGCAGCTAAACTAAGTGACCAGTACCAAAGTGTACTGATAAGTGCAGACACCCAAAAACATCTGGATTGTTGACAATCCCAAGAGGGTTGTCTTGAAAAACCTAAAAGTCTAAATCTGCTCCTGTGTTCTTGACTTGCCTTATGTTTGATTTATTAGTTCTGTTTACTGTTTAAAAAATTTTTATTACGGAGAGTTGAAAGGTTTCATCTGCAGATGAAACATTCCCTTTATTTCCTATTCATTCTAAATTTCTCAAGGAGGTTAATAGCCCCTGTGGAAAAATAATGTCATCCCATTTCTTCTCTTTTTTTCTTTTTTCCTTTTAAATGTCTGCCTCTATTGGGTTTCCTAGAAATATGTTACAAGAAAGACTAAAAATAATCTTGCTTACAGAGATTTGAAAAAAAAAAAAGAAAAATTCCTTTTCCTTCACAAACAGCAGTTTGGGCCTGAGAATGCATGGGGGCAATCCTTGGGTTCTTTGCAGAAACTCAATTTCCCTGCCTCAGAGTACCATCATCATAGATAGAGAATATATGGGTTTTGAAAGTAGATGCCCTTCTCTTACTTTTTTGACTTTCATGCTGGTATTTTCTCTATTACCTTCTATGTGGCTTCAGTGTATTTTCTTCAGGTTGAGGCACTAAAAGGAGATTGATGTCTTGGCCATTTGAGCAGTTGATGGCTGGCCAGGTCTTTCTAAAATATATACTTGGGTTTACATATTCTAGATATACAATACATAATCATAGAATGCTATATTTTTATTCACTGATTCACTAGATATATAATGAGCGCCTACCATATGCCAGCCACAGTTCTAGGTGCTGGGAATGAAGCAATAAAACTAAACAGCAACTTCATTTCTGTGGAGCTTACATAAATTTTAATGATGGGAGACAGATGAAGAAATAAATATAATAACATCAAGTATTATACAGGATATATTACAATGATAAGCAATATGAGGAAACGTGAAGTAGGATACAGGGTGCCATGGCGTGTTCGGGGTGGTGGCCAGAGTTTTACATTTATTTATTGTGATCTGAGAATGCCAAACTTCTAAGTAATGTTTAAGCAGATACCTGCAAGAAGTAAGGAGTAGGCCACCTAGATACTTGTTCCAAGCAAAAGGAAAAATAATGACAGTGACCCTGAAGTGAGAGCATGTTTGTCATGGAGGAGAAACTTCAAGGAAGCCAGCAGTGCTTGACCGAAGTGTTAAAGGGAATGAGAAAGATACACGTGGTAGTGGAAGATTAGACCGTAGAGGGGCCTGATGGCTTCTTTGCTGAATGAGATGAGCAACACTGGCAAGTTTGAGCGGAACGACATGATCTGCCTTAAGTTTTAAATCATCACTCTGTCTTCTAAGTGGAAAATAGATAATTTCAGAGCAAGAATAGAAGCCGGGAAAGTATTTAAGAAACTTTTACTAGAATGCAGGGTGGTAGCTTCAACTAGGGTGAATTCTGGATACAGACTGAAGGTAAAGTTGACAGGATCTGCTGTTGGAACGCATGTGGAGTAGAAGAGAAAGAGGTCAATCTAAGAAGGTTCTAAGGTTTTTGGCCCAATCTGTTGAAAAGACGTAACTGCCAGTTTTTCTGTTGGGGGAGACTGTAGGCAGAACAAGTTTGGCAAAAGGGTGGAGAAAACAGGAGGTCAGTTTGGGACATGTTCATTCCTATGGAGATGTCTAGTAGGCAGTAGGCTATATGAGTCTGGAATACTGAGGAGAGGTTCCGGTGTAGGTGCAAACTTGTGAATAGTTAGAATAGGTTTTTAAATCTATGAGTCCAGATAAGATCACTTGGTAAGTTGGAATAGTGAGAAACCTACGGACTGAGCCCTGAGACAGTCCAACACTTGGAAGTGGTTATGATGGGAAGGAACCAGTGAAGGAGACCAAGACGACTCCATAAGATCATCGACGGGATTACAAAGGAAATCTGAACAACTGTACTTGGTCCACGTACCACACAGTAACAGTCATGTCTTCAATATTCCTTCCCTACAAAATGTTCTGAACTCTGACAAGTCATGAAATCTCTCTGAAACCCATTTAATTTTTCCAGCAGCTTTAGGAAGTAGGTACAAATTAGGAGAATTAAGACTCTGAAGGGTTTGTACAAAGTTACAAAACAATGAAAGGGAAGACAGGGATTCCAACTAATTCTGAATAATATAAGATGGCTGATATTTATGAAATGTTTAACAATATGTTCCAGGCACTGAGCAAGTAATATTTCAATTAGTTCTCACGACAACCCAACAAGGTAGATACTTATATTACTTAGATGAGGAAGTTGAGGCTCAGAGAGGATTTAACTAAGCCAAAGCTCAGAGTTAATAAACATCACAGCTAAGATTAAATTCCATATCTGCATAATACAGAGGCCTCTTTCCTAACAGCTACAGCATGTCACGATCTTACGATAGAATCATCCTTCCTTTGCTCTTCCTGCTTGTCCCCCTGACTGCTTTCTGTGCCTCATTTCTTTCTGCAAAGGCCACTCTGATATTCATCCAAAGAAAACCATAGAACAGCCAACCCAAAGCAGCCCCAAAAGAAAACAACCCAGCTTCTTGTAGCATTTCCTGCCTCAGAGAAATATGTGAAAAAGGCCAGGCACAGCAATCTGAGCAGCCTGTCTGCAGCTTTTGTGTGTGTGAGGTGTGTGCTTCCCTTCTCTCCAGCAAAATTACTTTTAGAATTACGGGAAGATGATGAGACATCACATAGACCTGTTATTTAAACTGTTAATAACTGGGATGGTAGTTTGTTCCTGGTAATAAGAGAAAAAGATTCTGTTCCTTAGAAAAAGAAGAAATCCACATGCTCAGCTCTTGAGAACACGAAAATAAAAAATTGGAAGTTTGAAATTTAAGCTCTGGTTCTCCTGTTCCCTAGCAACGTGGCCCTGGAGATTGAACTGCTTTGAGTCTTTGTGTCTTTATCTGTAAAATGGGCTTAAAAAATACCTGCTTTGATCTACTCAAAAGAAGTCAAATCAGAAAATAAATGTGAAGGTGCTTTATAAACTGTAAAGCACTGTAAGTACAGACATATGTTTTCGTGGTGCTGTTGTTTTTGTCTCATTACGGAGCCACCCGCATACACTTTGTAACTGTTTAAGACTGTAAAAATCAAACAGGGAAATGAGTACAATAGTTGGAAGTAGAAAGAGGGGGACTCAGAGACAAAAAAGATGAAGAAATGGAATCAGGGAAACTAAAGAGAGGAAAGGAGAGAAGAAAAGAGAAGAGAGGGGATAATCTGAGCACCACGGAGAGCCTCTCTCCCAGGCCTTCCATAGGTCCTTGAATTTAGCTTCTGGCAACATGCAGGCTTGTATTGTGTGTTTTTTGTCACCACCCTTATTATCAATCCTGTTATCAACAAAGTATTTGATAAGGGCATTCCCAAAATGTCAGGGAATATTTAGAAATGATAGTGTAATGTCACAACTGTTATAAGTGTTTCAGGGAAGGGCAAAGGTGTGTGTGTGTATTTACGTGTGTGTGTGTGTGTGTGTGTGTGTTTTCAAATCTCTACTTGTGGAATTATCAGGTCATCAAGGCTATTTTATCAGAGAGAGTGAAGATTGTTCAGAGTCCCTAGTTTGTTCCTGGTGTTCAGCACTGATGTCATCTCTATCCTGGATTTTTCTAAGGAATATACTCTGGAACTAATGCCAGGGATCCTTCTCTATTCTTTACTTCTCTGTAAAAGTTTTTTAAATGAGGAAGGGGGAGGGCTGCATTCTATGTCCTGTTATGAAATTGGGGCCAAGATGATGCTTAAGTATACATCCTACAAAGATATCCAGTCTTTTGCCTTAAAAATGCCACTGAAATCATGTTCACTTTATTGCTCATTCTCTGGTTCTATATCAGAGAATATACTCTTAGCTCTGAGCACCCACTTCTCTCTGACTTTTATTCTTGCTCAGATGGAAAGATAACCCAGCAATGCCTGTGGGGTTGATATATGAAGGAGTCTCCACAGAGCCCCTGAAATACTCTGGAGGGAGCGCTGCTCAGAGCACAGTGCTTCAGGCCTTTGATGAGTTCTTGGGCATTCGTCATAGCAAGGAAAGTGGTAAGTCAGACATTTTAATTTTAATTTTCTTTTTCCTTAACACGGAAGAGCAGAGGTGTTTTTATAAATTGATAAAACCAAGTGTAACTTAGAATGCCACAAAGTCTATACTTTTCCAGATTAACTTGGAAACTATGCCTGCCATATGTTATTGTGTCAAGTCAATTAATATCAGATCTCAGCAGGATATTGGTTTTCATTTCCAAATCTTAAAACATTGCTATATTTCCAGCTGTTCACTGCAGTTTTGTTTGGATCTTTAGGCAATGACTTCCTTGCTCTAAAATGAGGGAGTGTTGGAGTTTGAAGGGGTTGGCATTTCATTGCTGATGCTGGGTCTAAGCTCCTCCACTAAAGCCCTTACCCATAAAAATGGTGCAACCTCAAGCCAGTTCTGTTTAGACCAGAAGAGGGGAAGGGCCAACCATTTTACAAGCTTGAAACTGCTCATGTCTTTACCTGCCAGCCTTGAGCCAAATGTTTAACAGCTGCCCAAAACACTTCATAGTACAGAGTTTTCAAGTTGAATTAGAAAAAATAAAAATAAACTAGAGCTACTTGGTGTCATAGGGTCTAATCTCGTCGGCAAAATCAGTCCTCTAGAACTATAACTTTGCCCCATGTATTTCAACTTGGTGATGTTAGTAGTTGACTTACCATGCATGATATTAAACACATAATGGGTTTCCTATAAATGATCTATCTATCTACACTTCCTGTAAATATCTGTTGATTAGATTTTTATACAACTTGACTTCAAGGGGCTATTATTAAAAAAGCTGCTCATCCTTTATGTCCTTGAGCTTACTGACTCTATTACTTTCTTCTTTTTTAGCACTCCCTCCAAATAAAGCATTTAAGAAACAAAATTCACACCTGGCTTGCATGGTTCAGTGGTTGAGCACAGACCTATGGACCAGGAGGTCATGGTTCAATTCTGGGTCAGGGCACTGCTTTATGGGTTCAGTCCTCAGCGGGGGCAAGGAGGCAGCAGATCAATGATTCTCTTTCATCATTGATATTTTTATCTCTCTCTCCCTTCTTCTCTCTGAAATCAGTAAAAACATATTAAAATAAATAAATAAATAAATAAATAAATAAATAAATAAAAACAAAATTCAGCAGAGTCTCTAGCTGCTTAGTTTAAGGGTTTTTGCTTTACGTTTGTAAATATCCTCTCATAGTGACTAGCAAGATACTTTGCCCATATTTGGTATATGATGAACATTTATACACTGGTTGATAGAGCAAGTTCCAACTGAGTTATCTGAGATGTGCATGCTTCCCTTTCCCTTCCCCATCTCCTATCAACAGTCAGGAGTGTGCATTTGAGTGTTTGAAGTCTACTAACAAAAGAGCCAGCCAGATGGTTAGGACAACAGCAACAGTTGATGCTGGATTGATGTCTGGACGAGCACACAGGCTTTCTTGTCTTCCCATGTGGAGCTATGACAGTGTTCTGGATTGTTTCTTTCAGGTGACTTTCTGCTCAACATGAGGGACTACATGCCTCCTTCTCATAAGGCCTTCATAGAAGCAATCCAGTCAGCTCCTTCACTAAGGGATCATGTCCTGTCCTCCAGAAATGGCCAACTTCTGACAGCATATAACCAGTGTGTGGAGGCCCTGGCAGAACTGCGCAGCTATCACATAGCCATGGTGACCAAGTACCTTATCACAGCTGCAGCCAAAGCAAAGGGCAGGAAGTCAAGCCAACTCCCAGGGCCACCTCAGGCTTTAGAGGACAGGGGCACAGGAGGAACTGCAGTTCTGAGCTTCCTGAAAAGTGTCAGGAATAAGACCTTAGAGGCAATCCTCTCACAAAGTGGTTAAGAAAGGCCTTCTCCCCAGGGAGGCAAAACCAGCAAATGTCCCATTGGAGGGCAGATGGGCCTAGAGAATGAGGGTCAGGGTTCTGTCTGGAATAACCTGAAATTGACCTCAGCCCTATTCATGCTCCTGCTCTATAGTACATCGTCTTCTCCTTTGTTGAGATGTGTTGGTCATCAGAGAGGAGAATTTTCATGGCCAGAAATTTTCCTTTCTCTACTTGATCACTGGTTAATAGCAAACAGATTTGGACACTGTCTCATTCAGAACCCCACAGAGGAGCAAGGGTATCTCTATTCTGTTTGCAAAGCAATGGAAAGCCAATCAAAATTTCAGAAACCAAATAAAATTGCCTGTTGACAGATCACCTTATTGATTTCTTGAAAAAACAAATGAAATATTAACTAATTCATTCATTCTCTTAACAATGTACTAAGTTCCTGCTGAGTATTGGTTTAGGGATTAGAACAGGGACTTCTGTGGCCCCGGTCCAGCCTCTTCTCTCTGTGTGTGCTGATTTGGTGGACATGTGGAGGAAAGAAGAGGCTGACAGGGAGACTTGCAAGTCACCAGTATGAAAATGAATAATGACATGGGAACAGATGAGACTCTTCCACATGGTTCATAAATGTGCAAATTTTATTTTAGTTTCCTTCTTTATTTTTAGAAGAATGATTCTTTCTCCTAACACTGAAAGTTTGTATTTGTAAAATGAATTAATTAACCCTTTGGAAATCAATGAGTGAAGTGGGAATAAATAGTAAATCCACATATTTACAAGGTCTCATTCTACCTGACAGTACAAAGCTAGAAAACTTTAACCTTGTCTATTTAGGATAAACTCCACTAATTTAGGCTTGCTCTTCACTATGTGCACACACGTAGATCTGGGATAGCAGGTAAATTCCGCAACATTGATCTAGCATCGCGGCATCAGGGAGAGGTGCCTGATTATGGGGGGCAGCTTCTGTCCAAATTAGTGTCTGCTAGGCAGTCCCCTTCTCCATATAGGTACTGGTTGAATGGAGATCACAACGTCTTATCCTATCTAAGAGAACTTTCAGATTTCTCAGCCCTCAAGGTTTTATGATGCCACTTAGAAAACCATTTGACAGTTTCCCACATCCCCTGGGAGTAGGGAGACTACAAGATTGGCTCAGAGTGTCTGCTCAGCACCTGCGGCAACTATCCTCCCTCTCTAGTGTCATGGTGGGGGTGGGGGGAACACTGGACTCTTGTCAACTCTCAAGGCCCTTGGTAAGAAGTCATGAACCAGTATCTTCCACTTGGGGTACCAGGAGGGCTCCTATTGCCCCATGTCCTTTAAGGGCTTGGTCTGGCAAAAAAAGGGGAGGTATGGCCTCACAGGAGTGAGACATTCTAGTCCAAATGGGCCAAGAGAAAACCCTGGGTCTCACAGTTTCCTCTCTGCCTACTGTTTAGGTCAGGATATCAGCTCAAAGACCTAGGCTCTCACAACTCAAAAAGCTTTTCTCTCCATATAGTCCCTTTGTCTTATGTTGGAAAAGTCTGTTATGAAACTCAGAAAATGAACATGGATATGCTTATTTCTCTTTGGGTTGTTTTCTAACTGCCCTACCTTGGTACCAGTAAACCAGGCTGTCTTAACTGGCCGGGATGGGTATATGCCATGGTCCAAGAGGGTAGACCAAGTGGATTAGGTGAGGGAATAGGGTAGAAGCACATTGGTTAATTATTCAAGGCATTGTTCCTACTCCATATCATTCTCAGGTGAAGAGAAAGTGACCTTTAAAATAAGACCCGCACTTGCCCGGCAGGATGTGGCTCAGCAGTTGAGCATCAACCTCATGGTTCAGTTCCCGGTCAGGGCACATACCCGGGTTGTGGGCTCGATCCTGAGTAGGGGCCGTGCAGGAGGGAGCAGATCAATGACTCTTTCATCATTGATGTTTCTACCTCTCTCTCTCTCTCTCTCTCTCAATCTCTCCCCCTTCCTCTCTCTGAAATCAATAAAGATATATTTAAAAATAAATAAGACCTGTGTTTGAATTCTGATGTCTCCATTTTTTCAAACAAGTGTTTTTTGATCAATATCAGAAAATCATGAATCCTCAGCTTCCTATTTATTATAAAATTGAGATGATCAGATTGGTCTCAGGGTGACAGAAGAGATCGTTCTTGGCAAGGAGGAAAAAGCCAATAAAAGTTTATCTGGTTGTGAGGTGTGGCTCAGGGCATTAAAAGAGCACACTATATTCCTCAGGCTCCTTGGGCTCACAGAGTCTGCAGAGTAATAAAACAACCATTTATCACTTATTATTTAGGGATTCTGGAAAGTAGAAAGTGACAGAAGTGTGGGCTTAAAGAGCTGAAAAACCTGGGTTTGTATTCCAGCTTTGTCACATTTTATAATGACAAACTGTTTAATCTTTCAGAGCCATAGTTCACTCACTTGTAAAACACGGAACATTGTAATTACTGTATGGGGCAATAGAATCATATATTTTGATGATATAAGTGATATTTTTAAAAATCTCAGCATTAAGGATGAATTCTACCTTCTTTGAAGCCATCACTTTCATATTAAAAAATAATAAAGCATCAGTAGAAGCACAGACACTTCACCCTTCACTCTGAAGATGTTTGTACACAGAATTCAAACCAAAAATATAAAAACCTAATTTCTCTCAACCTGTGAACAAAAAGTTGCTTTGGTAAATTATTTTTCCTCTGAAGCACACCAATAAATATTTATACTAAAACCTACACACATAGCTATTTTAATGTAATCAGATATAACAGAAGAAAAATTCATTCACATAAGTCTTTGTGGATAAGAAAAGTGTGATTTACCGTGCATATTCCAGTCCCAACCTAACTTTTCTTCAGATTTTTAGAAACGATACTGTGAAGGGCTATTCTGCTGACTGCATTGCAAGTGTATTACTGAGGTCGGTTACAAGCCCTAATGTCCTAGCAGCTGGTCACAGGGTCACAGAACCCCCGAAGCCTGAGGCCCGGGATGGTGTCCCCACCTCCACACACTGAACATCTCTCCCTGTGCTCAGGACAGGCCTTGCCGAGGACATGGGCATGAAACAGAGCAAGAACACATCTACACCTCCAGCAAGTTTCTTAGGGACGTACAGGGCTATAGTCTATGTACTGAACTGTTCAACTGAAGAACAGAGAGTTCTCAACCCACTATTTCACTAAAATTATAAACCTTTGCCTGCACTACAAAACAAAACCCCACCATTTCACTGTTCTAACACCACTTACAACATGTCCTTGTTTCAAGGCTCAGTCAAGTAAGCTTCTTGTTCTAGATTGATGAATAGATAGATGCTTGACAAATGGTAGAAATATAGACAGGTGATTGATAGACAGTTTATAGACAGATGCTTGACAGAAGACAGAGATGTAGACTGATGATAGGGAGAGAGGGGGAATTAGAGAGAGAGAACATGACCTTAAAACAAGCAAACAAAGCAAGATATAACCCAGAATTTTCTTGAAATAATGTAGGCACATGTAGCCTTTGGCTTTAAATCTAGGTCTATAACAAAAGGGGCCCTGATTTGTCCCTCAGAAGACAAGACTCCAAAGAATCATCTTAATTGGTATACTTTCCGACAGATGTGAGTCCATTCAAAGAGATCGCAGAGCCTAATTCAGAGCAGATTTTTCATAAATGTTGAATAAATGGAAAACCAGATAAAATACATTTACAAAGTCTTGTCTTTCAAAACTTCCAGATATGTATAGTTTGCTTGTTGTCATTGCACAAAGATGATATAAATGCAAATAAATGTATTTTATTTCCCAATGAACTAACTTTTTAAAAAAATATATGTTTTCATTGATTTTTAGAGAAAGAGGAAGGGAGGGGGAGAGACAGAAACATTGATGTGAAAGAGAAACATAGATCGTTTGCTTCCTGCACATACCCTTACTGGAGATGGAGCCCACAACATGAGCATGTGGCCTGACCAGGAATCGAACTGGAGGCCTCTCAGTGCATTGGGTGACCCTCAACCATCAGAGCCATACTGGCCAGGGTCCAATGAACTAACTTTTAATTCATGTGTCAAGATATGATTTCTTGGACTAGGGAGCTCCACTTTTGGTTTTATGATATAGTAGCACAAGTAAAGATACCGGTACAGAAGAAAACACATTTTTTTCTCAAGATTTCTAGTGATGGAAAGTTATCTCTATCAGTAAAAATATTACTTTCTAATGGCAGAAATAATTTTATTAGTAGTATTATGTGAGGATACTACTGCGAGTTTGAAGAAATGACAAAAGAGCAGGTTTAGAAATTAGACAAATGCAGGTTTGACTTCTCACTTTGCTAGTTTGCTCTCCCCCACTCTGTAAATTCCAAGGAGAACAGGGAGGAGACCCAACAGACATGCAACCAAGAAATCTGCAGAAACGCTTTTCCTGGAGTACACGTGGAATATCATGTGCATGTATATGGGTGTAAGACGCAAAATTATGATTGAGAACAAAGAAACTGCGAAATCAGCCCAGAGTCAGACCCCAGGACAGGTTCACCGTGCTCTAATATTTGTAATTTCTTTCTATAATCTTAAGAAACAAGAAGGATGCTGTGACAGGATTATATTTTCACTTTATGTGGATATAACCAAAACCAATTGTAGTGTGTAACACAGTAGTTTCACAATAATTGTAGAATAAATTAACATCCAGATTGAGTGGAATCATCGGAAGGCCCACACATTCTTGCCTTCAGAAAACAGTTGCTTTCAGGGTACTAAGCCTCACTGCCAGGGACCAAGTGGAGGTGGAGGAAAATTTACGTTTTCTTCCCAGCCTAGGGAGGTTGCATCTTCAATTATTGTAGAGGGCCAGTCCTACAAATAGATGGAGCATGTACCACTTAAACGTTCGATTTGAAGGTTCACCAAATTTATGTTGACCAATAGATTCCTTGTCAAAGTTTTAAAATTATTTGTGATTTCTTAATTAGAGACTTGTATTAGCTTGGGTTC